CCTCAGTGGATGAAGATGAGCTCAGTCTTGATGCGACTTAATGTGCATGGAGTGGGTTGGTGTAAAGCAGGAGGGGGAGACGATCAAGATGTGAACAAATAAATGAACTTTAAAAAATAATTTTGAAAGACATAGTTTAGCAAGAAAAAATAATCTCAGCAGAGAGAGAGTGTATATTTCTGTTATAGCTCTATAGAAATTAGAAGGCAAGCCATGGGAACTAAGAAGAATTTAAGAGAAAACATGCTCCATCAGTGGTAATAAGATGATAATAGGGAGAGATTCTCAGGAATGTGGTAGATTGGAGAAGTAAGGTGGAGAAATATTTTCCCCATCCATGGAGATAAGTGAGATGTGGCTCTACTAGTGAAATTGTTGGGGTGTGTTTTGGTTTCATTTGTTTTGTTTTTGTTTTTGTTTTTCTGTTTGTTTTTTTGAAAGCTACAAATGCTAAGAGGAAAGGCTATTAGATGCAGTGATATACAAAAATTACCCACTGACAAAGGATCAAGGATGTTCATGGACTCAGCAGAGAGCTGAGGTTATGCCGGGAAACTCATGAGCTAAGAAAGATTTCTGATTATTTTTACTTATTAATTTTCAGCTCATTATAACAAGGTTCAAAGAGCTTCTTGAAATAGCTCCAACATCAGGGCACAAAATTAAGCACTGAGAAAATCAAGCAAAAGCAAAAATAACTATAGATAATTAAATAAGGCTCTGATTTGCATTTATACAAAGAAATAGATGATATACAGTTTTACAGAGTTGTTGAGACAGGGAACATATCCAACTTTAATCTTCCCAGGATTCAAAGAACTAGAAGATAGGGGTAGTGAGCTTGCTAATTCTTGTTCTGACTCATTTGTCTTTCCTCAGGAAGACTTTTGAGAGAGACACAGAAGGTTTGTCCTGGTTCAGATCTTTTGAGATGTGAGCATTTCACAGGACAGAGAACAGTGGGAAAAAGTGACAGCCAAGAATAGCCCCATAAGTGGGAGGTTTAGAAAACACCAGTGCACATTGTTTGTCACCGTAAAATTGTCAAGAATAGAAGAGATTGGCCCAGTAAGTGTGAAAACTGTAAATGAAATTTTCTGCGATAATCCAAGCATCATGTAATGTTACGGGCTCCTGAAGGTCATGTACATACCCAGCGTCTCACTGCCAAGATGTTGTTGTTCTCATCTTCAGATCAATTCTGCCTATCCTTACTTCCTCATAACTCCTAGTTCATAGACAGGCAGAAAGCAGCATATAGACTTTATCGGCTGGTATCTCTCTATTCCAGATTATCTCTCTCTCTCTCTTTTTTAACTAACAGTAAGTTCTTCATTGTGTCCCTATAACACCATATTCACTTCATCACCAGAATGAATGGTTTAATTGATACTAGCTCAGTTTTTTAAGTTGCTGATAAAGGCCATATCCTTGTCTTATCTGGCTCACACTTGCTGCAAGCAACATAATTTGCTTTCTTCTCAAATATGGAAATGAAAGTGAGCTTTCAACAGGAGATCATGCAGGGCAGTTCCCCCTATCATGATGCAAATGTCACTTCCTCTTACTGGAATTTCTTGCATGCAATCTGAATATATCTCAGTTAGTTTTATGTCTCTATTGTATCTACTAGTACCTCCAACAGGATAAAAATCTATCGTGTCAGCTTTACATGCTTCTTTGCTATGGGCTCCTTGGAATCCAGATTGGCGCCCAGGACTAAACAAAGTTCCCAGCCCATTACAGCATAGGTGTTCAATGAACTCAATTTTCTGAACAACATCTTCAATAAAAATTATATTATGTTCTTACAAACAAGATTCTTTCAATAATTGCTGTTCCATGTGATGAAGAAGAAACTATAACATGTTTGAAAGGTTCATGATATGACTCAACTGCATTAATTCTCAAGGTATGTACCACTCCCTTCCTCAAAGGTAATCTAGGCCGGGGCTAGAGCATATCCCACAATACATTAGAATTTTAGGCTGCCACAAAGTCTTACAGTTATTGCACATGAACATTTCTGAGCAAATTAATTCTGTTCCAAAGAAATGTGTGTTCAGACACACTAAGAAAGTATTTAAATATTAACATTTATCTTCTCTTTTCATCATGGGTTTAAATTACACCCTAAACTTATGTAATCTTAAGTCAATTTTAAGTTTAATTTTAAGGTAGATAGGTAGGCATAGAGATGATAGCTAGCTGGATGGATGGATGGATGGATAGATAGATAGATAGATAGATAGATAGATAGATAGATAGATAGACAGAAAGATAGAGACTACTCTATCGCCCAAAATTAATTGGCATTTAACTAGTTACTGAATCTTTTCTAGGACATATTACCTGCTATATCTCCATACATCTTTCTTTGGATTTTTACTAAACATGTTATGGCATGCTTAGCAACATTTTACAGAATAAAAAAAAAATGACCCAGTCAGCATATAACAGAACCATGATGCAAAATCAAGATTTGGTCTTTAAATCCCTCTAAGGCACGAGACTTTTTTTTTTTTTAATCCATGAATATATCACCTGGCTCTGCTGCTAAGCACAAACGCATTGTCTGAGGGCTTGAGTCATAAGGTATCCCCAGGTGGAATTAGGATGGTCTGGTGTACCATGACCAGGACAGAGCATGGGGAGAAAGGTTTACGATGGTCTTTTTATTCTTGCAGATTAGAAAAAATATTAATCATGTAAACTAAGTAATTCTAGCAGGTAGTATAAGGAAAATATCTATGAGGCTGGGTGATAGGTTTTAAACCAATCTTGACACCTTTTCACTTCTTCCTGTTCCCAGCCCCTTGGGTGGTTTTTATCTGCTGCCTCTCTGGATCTACATCACTACCCACAGGAGACCTTGTTGCCTGCAAAATTTTCTCCACTTAAAAAGACTATGTATATTGGGGCTTACTGTGCTCTTGATTTAATGTCAATTTAACATTGAAACAATCTTGTAAAAAATCAGAACTCTCCTGCAGAGAGCTGCTGGAGAAATTACAGAAAGGGCCAGAGAAGGAAAGGTAAGTGGTCTCCTCCTCTTCCTCTAAGAGGGCCTCCCCTGGCTGCTTCAGCTTCATTAGAAGAGCCAATTCAGACTATTTAAACATCCCCCAGACACCCCTTTTCCATGCTGGTAAGTGATGACAGTCAGCTCTTCACCTAACACAGCAAGGACAAAGAAATGAGCTCCACACCCCAGTAGCCTACAAGATACCTTTGCCTCAAAGCTATTATTTTTAGTCAGCACCAAGAAAAGGGTTTATAGAAAGTGACTTGTCTCTTGTCACTCTGCCTATTCAAGTTCTGATAGATGCTGATGGCCTCCTACCCTGTGTGCAAAGCCCAGCCGACCTGCAGCATTGAACACTGATAAGAACTTAACAGGAACCACATACGCAGATCCATCACTAGACGCTGTGAACCATGGGATCATCACAGCCTTCTTCTCATCCTGATATTATCTTCAGTTGCAGTGTCACCAAATTTCTTATCAGAGCTTGGAAAGCTCTGAGAAAAACAGTCACCATTCTGTCACAGAGACTTCAATGTGGCCTTGACACATTTTCAAAAGAGGAAAATTGAATCCAAAATCTCTCTAAGGCAAAGATTCACACTGCCTCTTCACACATTGAAGAGGAAAAAAAAAAAAAGCCATGTGACATCATTTTTTTCTGGAATATCTATTCAGAAGTCAACATGTGACAGATTAGATTGGAGTCTTATCTGCTGAACAGTTACTTTAAATGTGTTGTCAGAAATAACAGTAAACATTCTCGGAGGACTTAGAAGAATTTTGGACAATTGATGGTTTCTGGCAAATGGAAGAATCAGTCAAGAAGTCAGCCCTAAAATAACCATGAGCAACATTAAATGATCTCAGCAGGTTGTATGCATAAACATATATGTGTGTGTATAAATTATAATTACAGAATAAGAGACCATGAATTTGAGAATGAGTGGAAGTGACATGGTAGGAGCTGGAGGAAGGGAAGGAAGAGAATAATGAAAATTCAGTGCTTATATATGAAATTCTCAAAAAATTAAAAATAAAGAATACGTATGAGGATCCACTATTTAATATTTTTCACCTTTTATTTGGTGGAAGATGGATAGTTTTGATGTCTCTGAAGAGATGGCTCAGTGGGTAAGACTGCTTCCTGAACAAGCATGAAGACCTGTGTTCAAATCCCCACCATCTATGTAAAAAGCCTAATATGGACGCACAGCTCTGTACTTCCAGAGCTGTGGGGGGTAGAGACAGTGGAATCCCTTGGGCTTGCAGGGCCCTAACTCAGTTCCAGGTTTAATGAGAGACCTTGTTCAAAGAACGAAGGCAGCAAGTAAAAGAGCAGGGCATCCAGCCTCCTTGAGTTCATGTAGGTGTTCAGACACACAGCCAAGTGTTCCAGCACACTTGTACACACACACACACACACACACACACACACACACACACACACACCATAAATACACAAAAAGAACTTTAAACAAGGTTTGATTAAATTTACTAAACTGGCTATCTTTTAGAAGATTCTTGAAAGATAAACATGCTTTGTTTATACATATGGGAAGATAAACCAGCTAAATCTTCTCAGAAAAATGGTTTTTCTCCAGGGATCAAACACATAAGCAAAGTCATCCTCTTCTACAAGAAGTTTCATTTCACTATCAGTCCAGTGGGGTCGTAGAGATCAAGGGAGAATATTATTCCATAATCAACAAAGCTGAGGATAGTGACAAAACCACAAAGAAAGTTATGGCTTAAGCATTCACTTTTAATTTAGTTTTAAATAACACCTATGCCTGCATAGTAAGAATTATAAATTATATTTAGATCGTGTAAAGTATTGTTTGACAAGGTAAGCTTGTCATTTAGAGACACTGAAGTCTTGACCCTCTTTCATGACTGCACAAAGCACAGCATTCTGAAAGGGATGTCCAACAAGCCAAGAGCTGAAGATTTCACACATGGATCTAATTCTTACCTAGCCTTGCAGAAGCTGAAGCATGGTGCTCTTAGCCAGAAATCCCCAGACAGACAGTTCTGCCAAATTCAATAGCTATTTTCTTTTCCTGAAAATAAAAAAAAAAAATAAGATGAACACATAGAATAAATTTGAATAATGCTGAAAACAGTCTTTCTCGGGCTAAAGATCTAAATGTGTCTTCTACATTAATGTGTTTTTCTAAGCAAAATACCAAGCATAATAGAGTTGTCACTTTTCTGATGCAATTATCTGAAAATTAGTGGTTTATTTGTAAAATACTATGTACAAAACTATGATTGGAAATAGAGGGTTGAAAGAAAAATAAGACACATTGTGTTTTTAACAGCATGCTACAAAGACCCGGAGCCCATCCAGCAGCTATGATTTAATAGATTGTGTAGCAGAATTTAAATCAGTTATATAATGTTCATTAAAATGGCTACAATGCTCTATCCAACAGAGAACTGAGTTATCTCCAATCAAATCTCACTTGTCAGACATGGGGCTCCATGGTCGCATTCATGTCACTCATACAAATAAAGGCCATGTGTCATACCATAACATTGAATCATAGGAGACAGGATGTGCCAAGATAAACCAAAATTTAATCAGGTAAGAAGTCAAGCATAGGAATATGTGATATCTGGGATTTTGAGAACTGTTCCTAGGTTGACCCAGAAAATATTAACTATTGAAAGAGTCATCAAAATGTTAGAATAATGCAGGAAGCTGGGAAGGTGGGCTTGGTGTTGACAAAGAATGCCACACTAAGACAACACTAGCCTGTTGGATGAACTGTATCATGCAATGGTCCTAAGTCAGCACATTTCCTTTCTGCCCTTTTCCGTGTCCTCTAACAAGACAGAGTAGCCTGGAATTATAAGCAAATATGCACGCTTAAGAATCCACAAAACCACAGAGAATATTTTAAGACATCTTGTGAGGCAGCCAAACTTATTCCACACCATACCCTGCCACTTAAAGATTCAATTAGAAAAACCAAGTACCACCTTGTTCCATGACATTTCCTGGGGAGACAAAAAGAATCACTTTTCCACCCCAGATAGACATGATACTGACAAAACCAAAGACATAATTCCATTCAAGTCCAGCTTGGTAAATCAATGTCTTTATTGGGTTCTCTTACATAAATATTGGTAACTCATTGACAGCTATTTCACCTGGAAAGCATTTGGGCAACTTCTAAGCAGCCAGATGAAGAAACATGCCCTCTAGGGTTCAAGCTCTCATATGGTGGTAATTATTCATGACAGTGCCCTCATGAAGATATAGGAAAGGCCTTATGAAGCTGGTAATCTCATGACCCTCCTCCTTCTCTCCACAGAGAATGTTGGATCCAAAATCTACAGGATTTCCTTTAGATCATCACAGCCCTTCTACTTCAAGGTGGCAATGGTCAGGTCTGCCTGGAAGACAATGCTATACTATCTACCTTTCAAGAGCATGAAGTCTATCTGAGAAGACAAAATACACAGATATACTATACTTTTGTGACATAAACATTATTTCCCCCATTCTAGGCTTATTTGTTTTGTTGACAAACTACAATATTTTGGCTTACCCAACTTTTACCCTGAATTCAGAGCTACCCTCAATTAAACTGTCATATTCTGGCATCTGTGGTACCCCTCAAGTCCTGCGTTACAATCAATCTACTTCTGTAGTTCTCTGAGCGTTTCAAAATGAAGCTCTACACAGTCATAAAAGTATGCTTCTCTAGAGCCAGCTAGTAGAGAAAGCTAACAAGGAAGCAAACTGAATAAAACCCAGGTGTCCATAAAAAAGTAGGTTTACAGTTTCACTCTTTTATTGTAAAATTACATGTGAAATTACTTCTCCTTGCATGTATTACTTGGGTTTTTTTTTTTTTTTTTTATAAAAGTACTTTCCTCCAGCAAGGAAGAAGATAAAATCCTCAGTGTGCTGCCTGGCACACTCCATTGTAGGCATTTATTCTCAGAATAGTACTTTAGAGGGGCAAAAACACAATACGAGATTTGGCAAGATTCCACTTTTGCTTTAAAAGTATGTCAGTTGTAGTTGATTATCCCATGATAAACTTCCAAATTCATATCTTTTTCACATAATACTGAAGTCACTTGTAAGCAACCTTAGTTACATTGTTAGAAGCATCTTGTACACAGTTCTTTATAATTCCAGAAAAAGATAACAATTAGATGGCAGAAATGAAAAGAACATCTGTGATTGAACATAGGGCAAGTGACCCCAGTATCGCCCTCCCTTGAAATATTTTAAGCTTTCCCAATTCCACACAAAATCCTTCAACCTCACCCCTAGAAAAATTGACTGTACTTACATAGTTGCCCTAAATAAAAGAGTGTGAGTCAACATGGAAAGTAAATTATTCATGTTAGCAAGTAAATGAAAATAATACTCAAACCAAGCAAGCCAAGTTATTTTTGTTCATCTCTTAAAACCCTTAGTTAGGGCTGTGGTAGTGGGCCAACAAGTGAAGTACTTGTCTTCAGGTATGAGGGCCTGAGATTCCATCCCTCCGAACCACATAGAACGTGGTAGCGTTCCCTGTAATCTCAAACCTCTGATGTTGAGGCAGGAGGTAGAACAGAATATTTGCAAGTTCTTGGGCCAGCTACTCTGGTGCCCACAGTAGCAAACTTAAGAGACTCTGCCTCAAACAAGGTTGAAGATGAAGACCTAATCTCAAGGTTGTCTTCTGACCGCGACACGCGTGCAGTGACACACAAATGACAACACCCAGAGGAAGACACACCCCACACTCCCACCAAGACAGAGACAGGCACACAAACACACACGGGGAGGGAAGCACATTTTAATTCAAGCCTGGGAGATGGCTCTGGTTAAAAGCATTTATTATTCTTCCAGAGGACAGAGTTTGGTACCAGCGCCCATGTAGGAAAGCTGTTAACTGCTGACAACTCTAGCTCTAAAGACCTGGATGCCCTCTGCTGGCATCTGCAGGATCCTATCTATACTCATGTGCACATACCCACACACAAAAGCAAGCAAATAAGTGATAAAATTAATGTTTAAAAACAGATGTCATTAAGTAATACTACCAGTCATTCTTAACCAAAATAGTTTGCACGATTTATTCTTAATATTCCTAGTGGCCTTTTCTGTATAAATAAATAGCAAAATCTCATTATTTGTCCTTAGGATGTATGATCAGAGAGTATAGTTGGAGATTACAATGGGCAGACTGAACAGTGTGATCAAAGGAAAGCAGCACCACCACCAGAATTCCCCATGGTTATCAGGTAGATATATCTGGACTCCCTTGCTGTGGCCCCAGCATCAATCCCTGATCACTCATCTTTTGCAGGAACAAGATACTACAAATCACTTTCCAGGCACTAACATACTCACACTTTGTTGTTTTCACCTTTATTCTTTGGCAAATAGTAATATTAGCGTCATTATTTGAAAAATTAGAAATGTCAAAAGTTCCCTCAGGAATTGCACACTCCCAGAATACCAGATATTTAACAGGTTAGATGCTGTCTAACTAAAGAATAACTTCTTTTTTGCATTTATTTATTTATATTACAGTTTATTCACTTTGTATCCCAGCTGTAGCACCCTCCCTCATTTCCTCACAATCCCACCCTCCCTCCCTCCTCTCCTCCCATGCCCCTGTCCAAGTCCACTGATAGGGGAAGTCCTCCTCCCCTTCCATCTGACCCTCACCTATCAGGTCTCATCAGAACTGGCTGCATCGTCTTCCTCTGTGGCCTGGTAAGGCTGTTCCCCCCTCAGGGGGAGATGATCAAAGAGCCAGCCACTGAGTTCATGTCATAAAGAATAACTTCTTAAAATGTGATAGTTGGGTTGGTGGATTAGACAGGTGGATTACAGTCAGTTAAAAATCAATCTTATTTTAAACCAAAATAAGCAACCACAGCCATCTTAAAATGTTCACTGTTAATGAAAATATATACTATGTGTATATATAGTAAAATCAGTCTATGTAGCTCTCATTACAAAGAAAGAACAGAAAGAGAAAGGGAAGAATAGAAAGCTGGGTGAGAAGGAAAAAGAGGACAGCCAGCATAAAGCTACGTTGTTACAGTGGATTGTAGACAGGAAGGGTCTGGCTAACAGATCTGCCAAGCATCAGAATACCTGATTCTGGTGATGATGGTGATGATGAGGTTGATGGTGATGATAATGGCAGTAGTAGGAGAAAGTGTTCAACTGCTCCCAGCCCAACGCCATTCTCACCCACTGAACAGTGTGAGTTGAGGGTCACATGAATCAGTAGAGGTACGAGGGCCAATTTACTGCTAAGGAGCAAAGGTTCTTGTGCTTTGGTGTATCGGATGCTCAGGATAAAAAGGTGTCTGGTACAGAGGCCTCAGTGATGAGAGAGGAATGTGAATGTGACTGAGTACTCCTGACCCTAGGAATTTGGTACCCATATCTTTGTATTTTTCTCAGTGCAGAGAGAGCTGCTATCCTTGTATGATCTGTTAGGTCAAGCCATTGCACCTATGTCCGGATCAATTCTGAAAAATCATACTAGGTCATACAGTGTGGAGGCTGCTGGATAAAAGAGTAGTTTGCATCTGCATGGGATTAGAGGAGGGGCATGGGAAGAGAAGAGACAGGGAGGCAGGGTTGGGAGGGGATGGGGACAAGGGAGGGGTCTACAGCTGGAATACAAAGTGAATAAATTGTAATGAATAAATTTTTAAAAATATGAAAAGGAAACACAAAAAAAGAAAAAGTTTTAAAAAGAGTAGCTTACAGTAGTGTCTAAGGACAGTTGGGCATTGGTAATGAGACCTAAGAGGTCATAAAGGAAGTGAAAGTTTCCTTTAATTTGGAGAAAAAGGAAAGGTGTTGTGTATGTAGAAATTCAAGCTTATGATTTAAGGTCCAGGGGTGGGGATGTGAGGCAGAAGGAACGAGGAGTGAGTAGGCTCAGCAAACAGTGAATTTGTGTCATCAGTCCACAAGTCTCTGAAACAGTAATCATAAACCTTCCATTGTTTTAAATAGAGTCATGAAATCATCAGTGAGTAGTGAATATTTCTTACAATCCAGCTCCTAAATAGGAGG